GAACTGAATGACATGGTTGCTGCTGCAGGGAGGCTGAGGTCCTCCTCTGATAATAATGGCAGCAACCTCAGGACCCATTCTTCAACTGGATTGGAATGGCTAGGGGTCGACCTCTTCCCCCATCCGATGGAGTGTCACTGCCAGGGCAGGGGTTAGTAGAGGGGTGTCGGCGACGAGCCAGACTGAGCGACCAGGTCCTCCAGCACATTTGTCCAGTACTCAGCCTGGTTCTACAGCCAGACTGTCCAGTCTGCTACATCTGACTGACTGTTTAGATCCTGCCTTTTCCTCTTTTCCAGATAGTGGTGGGTTCTGTTTTATCTACCAGTTCCACTTACAGGTTTCACTAACTGAGTACTCTGCTTTGCCCTCCTATGTTCACACCTGCTCCTCCCATTCCTTATGCTCAGTCATTCTCATTGCCCATTTTCTCAATTATTAAGCCAAAAATAAAGATAAAATGACCTGGTTATGATCGCTCACCAGCCTCATATTTTACTGATACTACAGTTTAACCTATCACTGTAATAATGGGCACAAAATTAATAGTCTTATTTTTTTTAAACCAAATTTCTAAATCCGGAATCAATCATATAATTTATGTGCTCTGTGAAACTGCCAAAGCCTGAGAGTTCAGCAGTTATTTCCCTTCTTAGCTTCAGGTCCTTTACCAGTATATTACCTTTTTATCTCTCAGAAATCAGACATTTTTGTACCATTGATACTTGGCTTTAACCAGGGCACCGCTGCCCCTTGTGCACCCCTTAACTGCTCCACACTCTTATTTTGAAACCACAGGAGATCGCGCTTTCACTTTGTAATGGCCAAACGTCAAAACTACCTTCATCAGCCATCAGGTGTGCTAAATCTGTGGTTCGTTTAAAAAAAAAAACCAATTTCTGTAGGTTAGCTTTTCTTAAATCTGTTGCCCATTATCTGTGCTTTTTGTTCTCCTGTAATTCCTGCATGCAGGGATGAATATTATATTATTTATTATTATTATATTATTGTAGACTCACTACGGGTGTCAACAAAAATGTAAAAATAACTTTCGAGTCTTCATACCTTGCCATAATACAATTTCATTATAATGATCTGGTGTTTATAAGTTGTACATTTGACTTCCCGTGTCTGGAAAAGTTGTTGAAATGTACAAATGTAGAACTTTGAATACCTAAAAGGCTTTTTGCCACATGCCGGGGTTTATGAAGTTTCATATCTTATGAAAGGAGAAACAGCTTTTCTGAATCCAGCTGTGAGGATGTCCGGTTGTTTTACTTTAGGTCTGCTGAAGTCAAACTCCAAATACCAGGAGATGGTCTCTGGGCGAATGCACGCAGGGAACCGTAGTATTTAGGCTGTGCTGAAAACAGCGCTCTGCCCTGCTAGGACTACATTTCCCATCGCGCCGCGCGCTTTTTCTTCCCCCTTTCCTTCCTTCCTGCAGTCTCGGCCCTTCTGCCGTGAAAAGGAGGCTGTGAAGTCTGGGCTGTCCGCCGTCACTGAGCCGATCCTGAACCAGCTCGCAGGTACAGTGGAATGGCAGCAGAGCGCCTGCTGACGGACCGGAGCCCGCGCTCAGCTGTCGTTCCGGGGTCTTGAACAGCTCGCTACCGCCGCTGGAGCCTCGGAGCCTGGAGGAGCCGCGGGTGGAGCTGCAGCCTGTCAGGCCGAGCCGAGCCGAGCTGCTGTCATCTCCCGTCCGTTAATGATGCTCAGCAAGCTGCAGAACTGAAGTATCGGCAACCCGAAAGCAGACCAGAGCATTTTTCACTGCTCCCTCCCCCTCAGGTGAGAATCCGGCTGCACACCTGGAGGTTCACCTGCCCCCCCGAGACACAGCGACTCGCAT